AAACCTTAGGAAGATTCAGGTGGGAGGGCAGAAGGGGGTGACGCGCATGTGGGTCAAATCCCACTTCTCTGGGGAATCCTATGCAGGGCCCCTTGATTTCATCAAGTGCCCCTGGACAACCGAGTGGTCGAATAGGTGGTCTTTTGAGAGAATTGAGATTTTAAAGGAAAGCTTTGGGACTGCAGTCCTCATGGGCCAGCTCCCAGTGCTGACTCTGCCTCTGCTGGTGACCCACTCAGTTCCTTGCACGTCACCATGATCTTGGTAACGCTGGAGAGGATGACTTTTTATTGTTTCCGTCCTGTACCAGGACTGAATCGCTCTCAAGCAGTCCCCAGTGTCAGGACAGCAGAGTGGAAGCTGTCCTAACTGGTAAAATTTGGACAGGTAAAATGGCTTGCACCCATGGCCCTTTCTGGAAGTGTGTCGTATTATTCTGAGAAATCTTATTTCTTCTAGCTTAGCTGTGTGATGGGTTGCTGGTAGGCCCAGGAGTTTTTGGTGAAGGCTTTCAGCAGGGTTTTATTTATTTATTTGATTTCCTTTAGTGCCCTGGTGGCTACTGTGGTTGATTGGCTGGTTTTTAATTTTTTGGTGATTGTAGTTTTTTTGGTGGTGGTAGTTTATAATGTGATGATTGTCAAATGACTGTCAAGAGCTTCAACTATTAGGTGGTAGGGAAATGAATGAATGAAACGAACATGGAATCAACTGGAAATGTCTAGCTTATTTGCCAATTTCAAACCTGCAAATAAGTTGAGGGCGGTTGAGGCAGATGACTGGTATTTATTCAATTATAGTTGTAACCCACACTTTTTCCTGCAGAGAACCCAAGGCAGCTTGCACAGTCCTCTTGCCCATAGATAAATAATGGCTGTTCAGTCCACAGTTTTCAACTCTTTCTTCTGGTAGTGGTGTTGTTCTTTCCTTTCATATCCCCCTGGGTATACATTTCATATTGAAATCACCTACTGGAAATGAAGTTGGGACACAGTTCCGTGCTCCCCCTGTCCTTGCTGCATGGAAGTCTCTGAAATCCTGTGCATCATTGGCATGGAATCAGATGCAGCAGTGGTATTCTCTGCCACCAACTAGCCTCATGCCATATATTTTATTTAGATAGCTATTTTTGGCCACCTGGATAAAGTACCAGGGAGGGCGAGAGAGGGAGGCCTGAGCGCCAAGAGGAATCGGTGCAAGGGCTTCACTGTCACCCAGCGTGCCCCTTTTTGCTCTCCCCAAGACTCAGTTGCAGTCTCAGAGACACAACGGGTGTGCTTTTTCATGTGCCGGCTGTTTAGGTGGAGGAAGGCCAGGGTGGGACAGGCCTCATCCTTTGGAGTGTTACTACTGAGGTCACAGGACCACAGCTGTATTATCTGGGCCCAGTTCTGGAGTTCCTGTGCAGTGGAATTATTTTTCTGAAATGATGGCGATAATGCACAGTCTCGTCTCAGTCTCTATGGTTCACTGCAGATTCTCCGGTTGTCTGAACCCAGGATAGTCACTGTACCCTTGCGGGGATAGAAATACCATAGAGTCCCCCGGCAAGAGGAGCTGTGGAAGTGGCCGCCTCTATCTCTACTGCCCTCAGCTCCCTAGCAACAGCATGTTATTACTTGATTTATTCCCATTGGCTCACAGGGAGAAGGCGGGAATCATGGTGAGAAGGAAAAGGGAGGGGATTTCATTTGCAGGGGCTGCTGGGATAGGTGGTGAGGCAGGAGGGCGGAGCTTCAAGAGCCGGAACCTCGTTGCCGTGGGAACCATGCAAGGGCCTGGCCTGTGTCCTGTAATCCCAGCCCATGTTTTTCATGTGAGCAGCACGTGTGGTCTGTGTGTGTATACAAAGTATGTAGCACCGGTGTGTGCGAATTATTTTCCTTACTGCGTTGTATTTTCAGCCTGTTCCTTTCCTAAGGAAGCCAAGGCAGCTTGCTTATTTATTATATTGATATCCTGCCTTCTTTTGTTTTCAAGGAACTCAAGATAACTCCTCCTCTTCTTATAATCTTATCCTTGTAACAACAACCCTGTGAGGTAGGCTGGGCTGAGAGTCAGTGACTGGGCCAAAGTCACCCAGGGAGCTCCATGGCCGAGTGGGGACTAGAACCCAGATTGCCTGAGTCGCTGTCCAACTCTTTAGCCACTGGGATGTCATGCAGGTGTGTGACAGAGAAAGAGTGAACATCTTTTCTGTTGCATCAGGAGTGAGAAAGTCAGGGCAAATTAGTTGGTTGGTGAAAAAGACAAAAAAAGACTTTATTGTTGGTGAAATAGGTTATTTGGGCACTGAAAACTGCAGGTTGAAAGGCAGTGATGAGGGTTTTCTGGAATATGTAGAACTGGAAGATTTTCCAGAAAATTTTCCAAACCTTGAAATAATCTTACCTGATTTAGCACGTTTGCTTGGTTTATTTTGCTCTCCAACGCACATTCTTCCTCAACAAGCATAGAAAATATCTCCTATTTAGTAAACAGAACAAAAATTGTTATCCATATTTCATTATTATTATTATTTATTAAAACCTTTTGTTTGCCATCCTATTATACAAGGCCTCAGGATGGCTTACAATGTTTAAAACAATTAAAACAACAATTTCAATAAATAATACAACAACAAAACAATAAATTACAAAACAAACAGAGCAACTGTACTTAAAGGCTATTAGATTTTAAAATACTGTTTAAATAAAAAGCACCTTCTTCTTCATTCCCTCCCTCTTTGCACTGCTTATCAGTTACATTCACTTTGAGAAATGTTTGATTCAGAACAATTAGTTGAACTTGATATTCCACCAAAGAATGGATGTGTGTCTGTAGGCACAGGCTGGGGAACATGGGCAAGGTGGTGCTGTTGCCCCCATCTGTTTCTTGTGGCATCCCATAAGCAACTGATTGACCACTGTGTGAATAGAATGCTGGACTAGGTAACCTTGCTGTAATTCAGTACCAGTCTTATACTCTTTAGTGAAATAAATATGAATCACAGCCTCAGTTTCAATGTCCCTTCATGAATGTCAGCAAGAAAGGGCTAACATTCTTAGCTATATTGGGAGAAGTATAGAATGGACACAACAAGCATCTGTGATACAGGTTTTAATAGTAGACCTGTAATGGTCACCCAATTTGGACGGTTTTCTAGGGGTTTGGACAACTTCACGGAAGAGGAGGCTATCAGTGGGACTAGTCCTCATGGCTCGATGCAAGCTCCAGAGGCGGTATGTTTACTATGTCATTGCGGGGGAACCTGGTTGGACAGTGCAGGTACTCTTATGCCCTGGTTGTGGATTTGCACTGTCCATGTGCTCAGCTACTTTGAGAACAAAATACTGCTCTAACATAGACCTTTGGTTTGATCAATTTCTTTCCCTCTTAAGTGAAACAAACAGTAATTACAGTCTTAGTTCCAGTTCCAGTTTTTCCTTCAGTTTCTTCTTGAGGAAGGCTAGCAACAGATGGCAAATGGATAGGTCTGGTCCAGACCCTGTCAGGCCCAGTTGCATGGTGCACAGAAGGGATGGCATACCCATGGGCAACAGGGCATTAGGGTTCGTGAATGCTTGCCTTAGAACTAAAGCTTCTATCCCATTTTTTGCCCCTTTAACATGATTGACTATTGTGCAACAGGTGAGGCAGCCACAGGCACATATGGTGTAGAAAAATAGAGCATTGGGAATTTTTCCGTAGAGAATCTTCTGCCTCCCATCACTGTTCAAAGGAGCATCTTAGCATGCTGAGATTCAGGCTCCACCTGTGCCTTGTATGAAGCAATTTGATTGCACTGGCTTAATTGATGATACTTGTTAACCCCATGTGTGTCATAAAACACCCGAGGTAGTTTACAAGGAAACCAGCCAAAACCAGAATAGAATGAAACAAAAATTAACAGGGGAAAACTACGCATCTACATAGTCTTGAGCTTCATGACCTTAGGGTCTTGTAAGTGCTTTGTTTTTCCCCCCATTTTAATGAAAGTTAAGTAGCTGTACTGTTCTCACACAAGTTAAGCGTTTCCCCCCACCCACCTGGAGAACAACAGCACATTTATTACCCTACCACATGATAGTCACCGTTTCTGGATCCTGCCCAATATCCTCCTCCTGCAGAAGCACAAAGAGCCTTACACTCCCCCACAGTTTGGGCCAAAGCCCTCCATGCCCGTGATCACTAATAAATCATTCCTTAAACTGAAAAGTTTTCATACTTCTGGGCCTGTCAAACTGGTTCCCATCAGCAACCAGCCAGCAGGCTCAATGGCTGTGCTAGCTGGGAGGAATGTTAGTGTTGGGAATTCGATTCATCCCATTTGGAAGGGACCGGCCTTAGGAACACTGGGCTAAGTCTCTTTCTGTTCTTCAGGAATTGCACTTTCTTCTGTAATTGGAACCAAAAGGCGACATTATAGGTTCTGGGGAAGCCAGAAGATTCTCACCAGGGTTCAAAGTACTACCTTCTTCAGTAAGTCATAAGGGCATTTGCTGTGGATGCTTTTCAGAAAATATCTTTACTGCTTTTCATTTTCATTTTTTTTTAGTGAAAAAGATACAGTCATGATGGCAATGTGTTTGGAGGGTTGAAACAGGTACACCTGTTCTTAAATTTAAACACATGAGATTAAACTTTCCGGTGTGCACAGCGGCTCATTTGTATGACCTGGACTGCAGTGCTGGGCATGCTTTCCTAAGAGGTTGCTGTTGTTGCTAGTTGCGAAGTTGCGTTCGACCCATTGCAACCCCATGGACAACATTCCTCCAGGCCTTCCTGTCCTCCACCATCCCCCAGAGTCCACTTAAGCTCACACCGACTGCTTCAGGGACTCCATCCAGCCACCTCATCCTCTGCCATCCTCTTCTTTTGCCGTCAATTGTTCCCAGCATTAGGCTCTTCTCCAGGGAGTTCTTCCTTCTCATTCCTAGGAGGAGGACCCACTAAATGCAGAGAGCCTGAGCAATGGGTGAATGTCCCTAGAACTGGGTTGCAACTCTGACATGCTTGTGGTGCAGGTGTACCAGAGGGAGATGCGCTGATCTGATCTGGTGTGAAAGTCAGGTGGGGAGGAAAGAGGGGTCTCCCTGCAGGAAGCATATTCTGCATCTTGAACATCTCCCACTGTTTCTGTGTGAATTTAGGAACTGCTTCTTGGCAGCCTGGATCACAGATGTCTGTTTTCTAAAATCATGTGGGTTATTTCCCTTTGTTAATAACACACACATATTTTCTTGTGGGCTGACAACGCGCTCAGCTTTCTGATGAAGACTGCAAATGCTTTTGAATGCTTCCGATATCAGAGGCAAGGAAATATTTTCTTCAGGAGCCTGGGAAAACATTTAGTCTAGGAGTGTTGTAACAATAGGAAAGCTACTAGAATAAGCTTGAATGAGTTGTTCATCCTGGGAGAAACCAAGAAATAGCTGAAAGCAGTTCCCACTGCTTCTGTGGGGCACACACCCTTACTTAAATCAGAGTTGGTAAATCTAAGATTATTTGATTATGTAAGGTGCATAGGAGTGTCTAATATATTGACTGCGTTTGCACATCACAGTAAACCAGAACTCTGGAGAGTTCTGCCTTACCATGAATGAATGAGCATGGTGGTACCCATGGCCTGACATCACATTGTCTGTGGTTTACTTATTAGGATTGTCGTGATTCCCTTGGGGGTGTTCCTCTTCCAAGAAAAATCTAGAGCCCTTAGGAGTCAGGTGTCTCATGCTCTCTGATTGAACCCTGCTGCTTTATACCTTCTCACCTACTAGATCTAACCATGGGATATCTTGTAGGCGCACAGCTCATTTTGAATTGTAAAGAGCTGTTTGTGTTTTAAGCTTTCGCAAGAATTCAAGTGTAAATCTTAAAAGCAGAGCTGAACAACATTTAAGGCAAAGATCTAAAGTTTGGAGCTGTGTGTTCCATGGGTTTGAAGAGCACCCCTGAAATGCACACTTTCTCGAGAGTAAGCCCTGTTTAATGTACATTTCGAAAACCCTTAGAAGATTCTGCTCTGCATTTCTTAGACTGCAGCCTCCCTGTGTTTAATACCACAGAAATCAAAGGGAGTTTCAAAAGCAGTTGTGACATGGAGGAAACACATGAGTAAGTTTATTGCAGGGGCCTCATGTTCCATCGGTGCACCAATGTGAGAACCTGTATTGAAATGTTGACTTTTTCTCTTTGGGTTGTGGATATAAACAGCTTTCAATTTAAGCGCCAGACTGATCACCAAAGGTGATCACCAGTTGTATAGAGGTGAGTAAGTAAGCTAGCAGAGGGAGGCATGCAGCACCTAGGCCTTCTCCTTGCTGGCACAGAAATTCAACAGGGCGCTCTAAGAGGAATGGAGCTCTCCGTTCTCCTTCAGTCTATCCATGGTGGACTAGTAGATACTTTTGCAGCTTAGCGACTTTTGTGGACTTAAGTACAAGTCTGATACAAAATGTTATGCTAGATTTCTTGCTGATGAAGCAACAAGACACTTGTGTGTTTCATAACAGTGGTTGTGTCTGGATACTTTATCAGCCTGTTTGTGGAGGAAGCAGATTCCTCCCTGCTCCATCCTTCTCTTTCTTGCCTTCCCTTGCCGCCAGTTCCTTCATACCACAAACCCTCCAACATTTCACAAAGGGAAATCAAAACAGATTTGTACACTTGGAGAAGCTCCTGTTTTGGCCTCAAATAATGTTTCCAAAGGCCCTTCTTTGCATGCTTGCTGTATCCTAAGGGAGGGGCAGAGACTGTGTGTTGAGATACTGTTCTGTCTTCCCCCAGTGTCTCCGTGCCTCCCAAGAAGATAGAAGTTGCCAAACTTCTCCTGAGAGCAGCCAGAGAAGAATGATGTAAGCCACTTTGAGTTCCTTAAAGAGGAAAAAACTTGGGATATAAATCTAATAAGTAAATTAATGGGTGCATTTCAACAAACTTTAAACTGCACTCATTGCCAGAAAAAAACCATTGCAAGGGTTGTCTATAAGGTGATGCTATCCGTGTTAGCCGGGAGTCTCTGAACCGGCCAGAGACAGACTGTCAGGGACTCGAACAGAGATCAAAACTTGCATGGTATGTCTGAAGCCAGCATCTAGGAGAACAAGTTACCTACCTGAACACAGGTATGGAAGAAAATTGGGCATGTAACTTTGACCTCTGCTTCGGGTTGGGATTTTGGTGAGTCAAATAGCACTGAAATGTGCTTTTTAAATTAGAAGAGGGAAACCTGCAGCCTGTGGGTGGTCCACACAGCTTCTCTTCCTGTACCATAAAAGCGAGGTATCCATCAGAAGGCATTGCTGCTGCAAATCCCACAGCTCAGTTGCCAAGCATTTCTGAAATCAAGCTCATAGGTGTAAGACTAGAGCCCCCGTAAGAGTAACTTTAGTAACCGTGACTGATGGTATCAAAAGCCCATAAAAGCTTGAGCAGTATTAATGGAGCCATACTCTGCACTGTCCTTCTCTGTAAAGGTCATGCATCAGCCAGGGCTGATTTGGTCCGGTAACCAGGTCAAAACCCAGACTGGAATGGGTTTAGATAGTCCATGTCCCCCAAGAATGCCTGTAGTTGCTCCACAGTTTAAATGAGTCATCTGTTAAAAGGCCATCAAAATTGGGTAGGAAAATAAAGCATAAAGCGAAGATACAGCCAGCAAGATTCAGTAAAGAAACCAATTTAGGGAGCAATTTGGAAATTGGTACATTTTATATCCTCTGCTGCATCTCATGAAGCTGAGCAAATACAGACAGTAATTTCTCTGAGGCCATATGCGGCTGTTCTTCATTCTAAAAGCCTAAACTAATTTCCTAAATCCAAAATGAATTAAAAGGTGTTCCTTCATTTACCACAACAAAATGACTTTCCCCCTCTACCACTAAATCCTGGACTGACTATTTGCTTCCTGCCTTGGGTTGGGGGAGTCATCATCCTCTGTGCCGCCATCTCGAATGGTTTGCATGATTTTAATTCAAAACCTAATTAGTGGAGCACACAGTTGGGTTGTCATAGGTAACGGAAACGGCTGCTTTATGGTGCCTGTGGGAAGGATTTCTGGAAAGGCATTTTGCATTCAGAAACTTACTTTGTGCGTCGGAGAGCGATGATGTTGCTGAGGGCTACTTCATTGGCCGGGCTGCTAGCCTCATCGAAGCGCTGAGCATTCAGAAGGCTGCCATTGGTTGAGCTGCTCTGTTTGCAGTGTGACAAGCTGGAACATTCCCCAGTGTGTCATCCTTGGATGGACATTTTTCCATTTCACAGGTCCCTTGGTAGCAGGGACAGGAGGTCAGCTGCAAGACGAGTTGCAGATGTGTGGTTGTCAGTCTGTCCTGCACAATTCTTCGGATTGCTAGTACATGTTAGGGTGAAATCCTGTTGTCCCTCAGGACAGATGCCTGTCAACATCTGGTGCTTCTGTGTAGCTTATTATGCCCAGTTTGAGGAATGGTGGTGATGATAGCCACTCCTAGTTCGCCATCTTTGGCTGCCTAGTTTTAGCACCAGGAAGGAAAGACGGCTAGAGTGTGGATGCGAACTTGTGAGATCTTATGGCCTGAATCCCATTTCTACCCTGGGACACCTTTTTTTGCCATCTCTGAGGTTAAGTTGCATCCTTAAGGTGGCAGCTGTTGTGCGTATTTTCCATGCTGGTGTGGAGGCTCCCACCTCTGTGAGCATCTTGGAGCTGAGAATCTGGAGAATCCAGTGGCCTCCCAGGTGACCGTAGGAGGCCACAAAATTTTGCCCTAAGACAAATTGCAGATGAGTGGCTGTTAATCTACACAGTTCTTTGTGTTTCTAACCTTTATTTGTGCCTCTAACATTTGTTTGTGTCAGTAGTTTTGTCTTTCCCCTTACCTGACTGATCATTGATTGCTGAGGAGAACATTTTAAGAGGAAGTGGAATGTAAATATATATAAAATGGTAACGACAACAGCAACAAGGCAGCCAGATATTTGCCTGCAAATTTCTAAAATTGCCACACACAAAAAGAGGCTCTTCTCAACTGACCTGAAGAAAAACATATTTGGATGCGTCTCCTCTTACAAGGGGAGAGGGGTCACTTGCTTGAGCAGCTTCTGGTCAGCTGGAGGACCAAAGAGAATAGATACTTTTTTTTCAATTCCAACCCAAATCTTTGCCACAAGAGTTATTTGCCAAATGGGACAGAAGCTGAAAAGCCAATGACTTCCTGCTGAAAACATTTCCCTGGGTGCCTTTGCAATGGCCCTGTGTTTAATTAGATTGTGCCACTGGCTCACCATTTATTCTTTAGCTCTCTGTGTGTATTAGAGATGACAGAGTGGTATAATGTTTTTAGCTGCTGCTTTCCACCATTTCTTTTTAAATCTGTGGTCTTTAATGGTGTATGGTTTGTTGCTGACCGTGCTTCTCTTCCTTTTCGTGAGCTGCTTTCCGTACTTAGGGATGGAAGAGCGAGGGAGATGGTGATTAATAACAAAACAAGAAAAGAGTAATAACTAAGAGCCTGAGCTATGCTTCACAGCAGATCCCTGAATTTTGAATTTTGCCCTGATATAAACCCATTCTTTGGGTCCATAGACAGCTCATCAGGGCAGGGTTTATTTTATTTTATTTTATTTTATTTATTTGGATATTTCTAACCCGTCCAACACACAACGTCTCTGGACGGCTTACAGAGTAACAAATATCTAATAAATACATGAACACGATAAAACAGTAGCAAGGTAAAATGCAACTGAGGATAAATATAATCTGAATCACAATTTTTAAAACATTGGGTGATGTGAGGAGGCAGGGGGGCTCGCCCCTTCCCCTGGGGCCTTCCACAGGGCCAGGCCGAAGGCAGCAGGGCGGGGCTGGGGGCCCAGGTGGGGAGAGCCATTTGCGGGGAAGCAGCGGCCAGGCCAGGGGATACGAGTGCGTGCGGGGCTGTGCGCACCTCGGACCGGGGCCGGGACAGCTGGGCTGGGAGGAATGGTGTGCGAGGAGGGGCAATGAAGAGGCGGCAGGAGAAGGAAAGGGGGAAGGAGAGAGAGGCGGCGAGAGGCGGCAAGCGAGCAGAGAGCAGAGAAACACACGTGCGCCTGAGGAAGAGCTGCAGCGGTGGCGGCCGCTGGCAGGGAGGCCGGGACCAACTGCAAGCAGAGACCGGCAGCGGTGCGGCCGGGACGGCGCAGCTCATTGCCATCGCGACAAGGGGGAAGGGAGCCGGAGCAGGCGAGGGCAAGGCGCTGCGGGACGCGCGTGGTGGAAACCGTAAGCGCAGAATAAAGACCGGGTGAGTGCAGCGGCTTTCTTGTGTTGCTCTGCATGGAGAAGCCGGGAAGGCGAGGCTTTGGCCCGCAGCCCCCTCCCGAAGCGGCCACAGTGGTGGAGATGCCGGGGACAGGGCGGCAGGGAGGTGCACAGGCTGTTCCCCCCCCTCCCCTCACCCCAGCTGACTCCTGGATGGCTTGGTGGGCTGAACAGCAAAGGCTCCAGGCCCAGGAGCAGCAACACCTGTTGCAGGAATTAGCCAAGCAACAGATGCAGCTTACGGAGCAGTTTTTCGCTGCCCAGCTCCAGAACCAAAGCTCGTTGCTTCAGCAAGTGCTGGGGGACTACAAAGCCCTCAAGCTGAGACCTTGGTAGGACAGATGGAAGGAAAGTGCCCAGGACCCATGCGGATTTCTAAGATGACTGCAGAAGATGACCCTGAAGCCTTTCTAAATGCCTTTGAAAGGGTTGCCCTCGCGGCCAAGTGGCCCAAAGACCAGTGGGCCCTCATCCTGACACCTTGCCTCATGGGTCCTGCCCAAGAAGCAGTGGATACCCTTACCCCGGAAGCGGCAGGCCAATGTGATTGAGTCAAGGCGGCCATTCTAGGGATTTTGAATGTTTTGGAAGAGACCTTTCGGCGGCAGATGAGAGGAGTCGGATTTGCTACTGGCGCCTCACCCAGAGCCTTGGGAAAGAAGATTCGGGCTAATGGGCTGAGATGGATGAAGTCTGCCGTCCGCAGTGCGGAACAGATGGCTGAGCTGGTCCTGCTGGAGCAGTTTATAACCGTCCTGCCCACCCCAGCCAGAAACTGGGTTAGGGGCCAAAGGCCTGAAACCCTAGAGGAGGCCATTGAACTTGTGGAAACCTCTGCGGCTGCGGAAGAGCCAGAGGTAGGAGACAGGCCGGGGCCACCCTGCAGGAGGGTCAGAGGCGGAAAGGCCCTGGGGGCCGGGGCAGCCGGGGCCCAGAGAGAGCAAGACCTGCTGAGCCCACACCCACGGGAAGGGCATGAGGCTCAAGAATGTCTCCCAGCTGGAAGTGCGTGCGCCGGGCCCCCCCTTGGCTTCGCAGCGCCTTACAAGTGGGAAAGGAAGAGGATCCCCACAGAAGTCAGAGTGCTTTCCTTGTGGCCAGGGGGGGCATTTCCGGCAAGACTGTCCGTTGGTGGAGTGTGACTTCGTGGAAGCCTGGTGGTCCGCCCTGGTGAGTGCCGCCCCTCAGCAAGCTTGGCGGGTTCAGGCCAGGGTGGGTGGGAAGGAGGGTGAGGCCTTGGTAGACACCGGCTGTGGGTGCACCCTGGTTAGGCAAGCCCGGGGCAGCCCCTTGGCGGAAGTGCTACAGGTGAAATGCATACATGGGGATGTCAAGCCTTATGTCACTCGATGGGCTACGGTGGAGGTAAAGGGGAGGTACACCTATGCAAGGTGGGGGTTGTCCCCAGTCTAGCGTATGGAGTAATATTTGGACGTGATTGGCCCCATTCCGAAGAGCTGGTGAGAGAGGCGAGCTCAGAGGTTGCTTTGGCAGGGGAGGAGGAAGACATAGGTCTTGCAGCCCTGCGTACCTCCCGCAAGCAGCTGGTCTTCCTCCAGCAAAACGATG